CATAGTCAGTTAGTAGTCATGATTAAAGATACTATCTTTAACCACTAACTCCACAGTCCACAAAAATGTATAATCTATGATAACAATTGAACTGATGTTAGCTACACTATCTGCTATCCAAGCATCGTTATTCCAATGCCTGAGCTCACCTTTTAAATCTGTAACAACCGAGTAATTATTTATTTTCAACCTAACCTAACCTTGAAAAATCCTGCGTACGCCACTGAATAATTTATATGGATTGTACTCGTAAATACTAATGTATTATGCAATTTATCATAAATAAATAATTTACTTTACAATTATTGAAATATTGTGTTAATACTAATTAGTAATTTATAATATATAATTTAGGTGTGTCCAGTTTGTGCAGCACACCCAGGAGGTGATCCTAATTTATTAACTGATGATTTTTCAGTTCATTTACAAATGCAACATCGTGCCAGTCCAAGTGTTCCAAGGGATTTAATTTCATTTTTAATATCCTTTTTATAACAGAAAAAAAACATTTTGATTATTAAATATACATTCTGAGGAAATCATAAAAATTGTTCACTAAGTGTGTTATATTAAAATTATGATATGATTTGGAGGTAGTGATAGAAGCTATGGGAATTATTGTAAAAAGAAAGAACGAAATAAAAATCGAAGAGGTGGAAAGAATGAAAAATGGCATGGAAATAGCTGGTGTGAGTAAAGAAGAAGTAAGAACAGAGCTCTATGGTGGCAAAGGATAAGGTTAACTGACTCCGTATTGTAGGGAGTGATGGACCTAATGGAAAATACATTTTTATTAAACTATAAAATATTCTAATTATTTTTTACCATGTTTTTCCTTAATTAAAGCTATCACGATGAACCTGTTGCAAGACATTCTGTTCGACGTATACCACAGTCTGCAAGAGGTATGGGAAGTACAAGGGTTCGAAGAGCAATCAATTTCAGGTACCGGGCAGCAAAGTACGGACAATTTAATTATATTTATTCAAACAGTAGTCTTTTATGGCTTGAAATACAAGAAATAAAAAATAAAAAAATATATTTTTATTAGTTTGGCTAATGCATTTGTGTCTAATTGCTATAGATATTTTTGTATTATTATTATTTGCTATTTTTGAATTACATATATTAAATTGTTGATGCGTAAATAATAGTTATTCGTATATTTCTCTAAATGAATAATTATTAATATTATTCAAATGCATTCTAGTGGTGGAACGAGAGATGGTTCAGATCCAATTGCTGAGCTATTATCGCAGTTAAGTGGAGTTCGTAGAGCACAATCAAATAGTGTGCCTGGATCTTCAGCAAGCAGCTCACAAGGCACTCACAATGTTTCTTCACAGCTGCAACAGTTGCAGATGCAGCTGCAGCTTGAAAGACAACAAGTCAGGGTATTGTGTATTAGTAATAATTTCAATTTGTATTTCATAGTTTCATTTAAAGTTTTAATAACTTACATAATATTTTTAAAAACATTTTATGGTTATAGGCCGCTAGACAACAACTAGAACGTTTACCTCGTCGCCAAGGACATGGCTCATCTGCAGCTGCTGCCTCATTAGCTAACAATAATATAGTTGGATCTGGAGCACCAACACAAGCTGCTGGTACATCATCAAACTTACTTAGTATTCAAGTTGTAGATTCAAATTCTAACCAAAATCAGTCTGCACGTAATAGTTCATCACAATTTCTAATCAAGTATGTATTAATATTGTTTTAACTTTTATTATTAAAACATATAACAATACAAAAAATATTTCCCAATCTAACTAAATGTGCATTTCTTGGAATMTGAATTTTAAAGAAAATATTTGAATAATAGTCTATTTAAAATATAATTTAATATTTTAATGCAATATAGATTATAAGAAACTGCTAGCTTTCAAACTTTTAACACAACAAAATCAAAAGTTAGACAAATATTCCACATTCAATATATTGGACGACAAATGAATACGGCTAWTATTTTGTTAAAGGAGCACACAACACATAAAATGTTCATATTAATTTATTATTGCAATCAAATCTAATTAAAACAATAAGATTAAAATTCAATCTCAAAAAAAAAACATATATATATACAGGGCGATTCATGAGGCGTAAAACCCTCATTATTTATAAAAACTATTTACTTTTTTCAATATTTTATATCTATGCTTTTCTAAAACTGTATAATTTTTTAATATTTTTCACCCTTATATTTATTAGGTAAACCACTATCAACTTTTGATTTTTAAATGGTAACCTATATTAACAATATCATAAATTAATAAGGCTATTTTTTTAATGAATTTTCATTTTTTGTTAATCCGTTGACGAGATATAGTCTCCCAAAGTTGTATGGTTTTGGAGTGGTGTTTGTATATAAATGTGTTATACCATGTCAGTACCGCGGCCGCGGCAATTGGGATTTTTGTACTATAGTGTAAAACATAATACACTTTTCAAATTAATTCAGTAGGTAAGTACGATAGTTAAGCCTATAAGTTGTGCCYCAAAATAGGTAAACATATTTACACAGGACAAACACCACCCCAAAACAATCCAATTTTGGGAGACTATATCTTGTCAACGGATTAATGAAAAATGAAAATTTAAACGTGAAAATTTATTTAAAAAATTAATTTATGATATTTTTAATATAGGTTGCTATTTAAAAWTCAAAATTTGATAGAGGTTTAAGGGTGAAAATATTAAAAATTTATATAGTTTTAGAACAGCATGTATCTAAAATTTTGAAGAAAAAAAAATTTGAAAAAAGTAAATAGTTTTTATAAATAATGAGTGTTTTACGCCTTATGAATCACACTGTATTATTAATATTATTATTATTATTATTATTTACACTGTAATATTAGGGTATAAGTAGAAAAGTTAGGTGATGTTTTTGCGTCAAATTTGATATAATTGCCTTAAAATAAATAAAACCACCCTTAAAATTGTATTTTTGATGTTTGATTTCCATWAAAATGTATGATTGTTGTGCTAAAGATGACAGAAGAATCAAAATTAMAWKWTAWMWTKTAATTTTGATTATATTTTAAAAATATGAATTTGAATTATACCCAGTTGCACCATGTAATGTCTCATTAAATAACTGCTGCAATTACAGAGTTTAGCGTAACTTTAATTTTTTTTTTTGAGGTTCTGAATATTTCAAAAAACGTTGTACAAATTCTGTTTCTACCAACATCTTCAGTCTTTATCGCTTAGAACCTTCTGCGTGAACAAAAACCATAATTTTCCCTCTGTTATGTTAACAAAATAGTGTAGGTTTTTGTGAAGATTAAAATGGATGCTGTATCCATGATAAATATGTTGAGGTATGTCAGCCATAATTCATATTTGATCCTGTTTGAGTATACCATGTGTTAGGTTTTTTGATCTTCATGTTTTAATTTATGCGGCTAATGAGAAATAAAGAATCTAAACACAAAGTTAAAAGAGAGAAGGAGAATATCCGTTTCACAATGTTGCTAACATACCTATATATACTTTAACATAACCATATCTCATATATATAACGTCAATGAGGGATTTAAATGTATTGCAATAGTCTATTAACAAATGGACTGGAGAGGTAGTAAAATGTGTGTCCCATGTGTTTATAGCCAATATTGAAGCCACAATAAAACTTAAACTAGTTGACAGAGCACACAGAAAAGGCATGAGCAGGTGATGTGAACTCTCGTTATAAAAAGGTTACATTAATATAACGAATATAATAGGTATGTGTTAAAATCAAAACATTCTTATTTACATACTCCATATTAGAGTACTAGATCTATGGAGCCATACTATAAACAGTATAAAGGCATAGATATACATTTCTCAAAAAACTAATTCTACATAAAATTAGACCAATAATCGACCAACAAAATATATTACCAAAATCACAATACAATTACCATCGCAACCACAACACAATCCACCAAATCMATAGAATTAGTGACAAAATCTCAGTCTCCTTCGAGACCAAGCAATACTGCCCCGGGAGTATTTCTAGATATATATCAGGACTTTGACCAAGTTTGGCATGATAGGCGAAACTAATTCTATTTAAACTAAAACACTTTCTCCGTTTGCCAAAAAAATTAATTATTCAACTGAACAGTATATAAAAGCTTAAGTTTCCCAGGGATATGACCTATCGCCTATACTTTATAATATCTTCACCGCTAATATACCTACATCAAACCAAACACTTCTCGCCTCATTTTCTGACAACACAGAAATACATACGTCAATTAAATTTCTCGATATTGCATCTCCAAATGTACAATTAAATTTAAATAAAACAGAATATTGGTCCAAAAACTGGAAAATTAAAATCAATGACAAAAAATCTGCTCAGATGAATTTTTCACTAAATTAAAAGGAACGTCCCACAACAAAGTTCAAGAACAAACCAATTCCACTTCACCATTTAACCAAATACCTAGGTATAACTATGGATAAAAGATAACCCGGTCAAACCACATCAAGCAAAAACAAAAACATTTTACTCCATCTACTTAGACTTATATTAAAATCAAACTTGAGTCTCAAAAACAAACTACTCCTATATAAAGTAATCATCAGGCCAGTATGGTCATACAGCATCTAAATTTGAGGCCAAGCAAAATCCGCAAACATTCGTCCTATACAAACCTCCCATTCAGTTACCCTAAGACTTATCACTGATGCTCCATGGTACATAACAAATTCAGCCCTCCATAATAACCTTAAAATACAATCAGTAAATGAGCTTCCAAAAAGCCACTACAAAAGTTTCCATTCAAAATTAACAATCCACATAAACCCCTTCATTCAAAATATGTCCTCTCTTACATTACCACAAATTCACCGTCGATTAAAAAGAAACTGGTCTAGAAATCTCCTTTCTGAGGTTCTGTTGATGAACAGTCTCCTCTTCACGTTATTCATGTTTGTATATTTTCTATATTATCCTTATTATTTATTGTTTTTTATTGTAAACAGATTGAATATATTTAAATAAAAAAAAGATATAAATTTATAAACATTAAGAGAATGCTACACCTTCATGTTTTATTCTTGTCTTACAAATGTACAACATGACAAAAAATGTTTTTATGTGGGATACACGGTATAGAACCACTCAGGGTGAGAGGGTAATAAATATACAATAATATAGATGAGAACATTATTTGTGAAATATTGTTTTTATTT